GTTAGTCGATGTCATATCGAGGCATAAATAGTTTGATATTAATTTTTAAACTTTTTTGTCCCCCTGAATGTGGCCGCACTCCTAGATTTGGCCTAATGGTGCTAAAAGTCTGGGGCAGATTGAAATTTGGCGAAAATCCTTGTGCTTTTTTCCATACCTTATGCAAATAGGACCAAACTTCTTGGATAATTCGTTTGGGGTTTTAAGTTAATTCCCCTTAAATGAGATGATCCTACAAGCGGAACAGTTATATGAGCTTCTTAAGATGCATACCTTCATTTAATGCCTCTCATACATGTATCATCTCTTGAAGGCCTCCCCTAGTCATTTATTTTCCCATGTCGAAGTGGTAGGTCATTTATATTTCATACGAACAGTTTTAAGACCTCGGTTTCGAAATCCAATATTAGTGATATTACTGAGCTTTCGTCCCTTATAAGTAGATCCAGTATTTGTACGGTGAAGGAACTTATCGCTAATATTAGACGTGCTACTAAACCGGCTAAACTTTGTGAAGTTTTCATGCCCTAAAAATAAGCCTAAAGAACCTCCAAAATATTTGGTTCTTATTTGCATGATTGGCCTGATAGCAGCTTGTAACAAAACGAATTACCGTGCCACTTGTTTACTTCTTGCATGATTTTTGCTTGGGATACTCGAATTTTTGATCAGTTATGCATCATACATTTTAGATACGAGCCGACCGCCGAAGCCGAATGAAGTGGATGGTCGTGATTATCATTTTGTTTCAAAAGAACAAATGCAGGAAGATGTACGCAATAATCAGTTCATAGAAGCTGGCCAATTCCAGGACAATCTCTATGGTACAAGTATTAACTCTGTTCGTGAAGTTGCCGAAATGGTATGTTTTGGTACAGATTTAAAAAAAGAAGTGGGAGCAAAGAGGTTTTGCGCGGAAAAATGCTCCCATCCGATCGTTTTGTTTGAATTTTTTCATGAAAATGAAATGAATTTTAGTACTTTTTTAGTAGCTTTATTAACTAAGGAATTGAGATCCCCGTTAGGGATTTGATGTCAGATTCATTGCTGTTAATTTGGGTGAATCAGCGCAGGCTAATTCATCCAAACGCAATAAATTATACTTTTGCAGGGTCGGCACTGCATCCTTGATGTGAGCGGGAATGCGATCCGTCGATTACAGTCCATTGCAAATATATATCCAATAGCGATTTTCGTGAAGCCTCAAAGTCCCCATCAGATCATGTTAGTGAAGCCTTTTCACTTAAATCGTTCATGATTGAAAATACATCTTAATTTTTTTCGGAGCTTCTAATACAATTATTTAATCAGTTTTATTATTCTTGATGTCATTATCATTATTAATACTATTATTATTATTATCATCGTTATCATCATCATTATTATTACTATTATTATTATCATTAAAAAAACAGTGATTGGGCGAAAACGCATTTTGAATATGCAAGTTTTTGAATTAAAGACAAAAATTCATTTTTTTTCTTAAATTATGCAAATGTTATTTGTTTTATGTCCATGCTTATTTCGCTAGTGTGTGTAATTTTTGCAGTGACTGGGATCATTCGATAAATGAAGATGACGCACACAC